AATCTCACTTTTTTAACTTTATAATTGAGGCCCTTAAGTTTTTTTAATCTCACTTTCTAACTTTCTAATTGAGGCCCCTATTTTTTTTTTAATCTCAATTTCTACCTTTATAATTAAGGCCTTTAAGTTTTCACAATTTTATAAAATTCTCAAATTCTCATCCTTTCTCCATCTCTCTCGTTAATTCATTTAACTTTGAATTAAATCAAATTATATTTCTCTCTTTTTTTTTCATAAATCTTATTTTTCAGTTTACCAAATATTATTTAGTTCTTAGTTTTCTCCAATCTCAATCTAAAGATAACATAATATCTTATTCTTTATTTTTTTAATTTATTATTCAGAATAAAGCTTCATATCATAATTTATACATACATTTGATTTTTTATTCTCTTAGTCGTATTTAAGATGTTTTCTTAATCAAAAAAAATGAAATTAATATTAAAAAAGTTTAATAATTTTTCTAAAATATTAAATTAATTGTTTAAAGTATTTAAGTATATTTTTCTTTAATCATGATCTATTTTTTATTTTCGCTCATGACCTAAAAAATATTCAAGACGGCTCTGATTCATGCCATGGGCACTGGGAGGCTCCATAGTCATGTTCTTGAAAGTGGAGAAAGTTCGCAAAATGAGAACTTTTGAGGGCAAAGATAGGCAGATAAAACGTGCGGGAGCATTTTGCAAACGAGTCTAATTGTTGCATTAAATTAATAAAGGTTGCCAGCCAGTGCAAAGATTATGATTAGGTACGTATGAATTTATTTCAATTTTTAATTAAGCTGCTCTTAATTAATTGATCATTATATATATATATATATCATTCATTTAGATGAACAGAGCGTTCAATTCGGTGAATTGTTCGTGAACTGTTTGTATAACGTTTATTTATGTTCGTTTGTTAAGTTAAATAAACGAACATGAACAAAATAATTTACGTTCATTTAATAAACGAATGAACACGAATAGAGGTGTATTCGATTCGTTTATATTTATAAACAAACTCGTCTATGAGTTTATTTATCAACTCGTTCATTAATGTTTATGAACAAACTTATTTACCTGATTCTCCTTTTTTTTTTTACATTTTAAATATTGGTGAAGATAATGATTAAATAGAACACATGATAAAAGTTACATTTTCAAACTATGAATTTTAAGGAGTTTAAGCATCAGTGACGTAATTTATTATTATTTTTAACTTGCAAATGAAATTAAAAATTGAATATATAAACGAAAGATAAACAAACACTAAAATAACATTAAACAAACACAAAATGAATGTTAAACGAACATGTTCATGACGATCACGTTCGTGAATATATAAACGAACACATTCACGAAAATTAATGAACATGTTCGTGAACAATAAATAAATAAATATGAACACCTTCAAAAATAAATAAACGAATATAAAATCATTATTAAACAAACACAAAATGAATGTTAAACGAACACGTTCGTGAACATATAAACGAACACATTCACGAACATTAAATAAATAAATAAACATGAACACCTTCAAAAATAAATAAACGAATATAAAATCACTATTGAAAATTTAAATGAACACGAACCAAAACGAACACCTTAAAAAACAAATAAACGAACACAAACACAATCTTTTTCGAAAATTTACACACCCCCACGTACATTATCAACAATTAAGTAGCAGAACCGCCAGTTTATCCGCACTCTCACTGATGAATCTGGCCGTGTGCTTGATTCTCAATAAGCCATTTCTGCTGAAGCTATTCGGTTTTTTTGAAGATGGTTTGGGAAGTCGAATGATAAGGTTGTTGGGGCTAGTGTTGAGGTTTTGAGGGAGCTGCTAGGGTGTTCCTTTTCGTCTGCTGCGCAGGCCGCTTTCTGTATCAGGGCGATTAAGGAGGAGATCAAGGCCTCTATGTTTCATCAGCATTCTGAGAAAGGTCCAGGCCCTGATGGGTTCAAGTCTCATTTTTTTAAGACGGCTTGGTCCATTGTAGGGGAGAAGGTAATTGAGGCTGTTAGTTATTTTTTTTATCACTCTGAACTGTTGCCTGCCTTGAATGCTACCACTTTATTTTGGTTCCTAAGAAATTAAATACTAGTTGTATGAAGGATTTTAGACATATCTCATGCTGTAATGTGGTTCTCAAATGTATTACTCGAATCATTGTGAATAGGTTAAAGGTTTATCTTCCTGAGGTCATTTTTAGCAGTCGGAGTGCTTTTATTCCTGGCAAGACCATCATTGATAACACGCTTATGGCTCAGGAGTTGGTGCAAGGCTATAATAGGGCCTATTGTTCTCCTAGGTGTGCTCTTAAGTTGGATCTACATAAAGCGTTTGATTCTGTAGAATGAAATTTTCTGTTCTCTGTCTTGATGGCTTTAAATATGTCGACCACGATGATCGGAAGGATCAAAGTGTGTGTTACGACTTGTTACAGGGGTTCAGCAGGGGACCCTCTGTCTCCATACTTGTTTGTTATTTTAATGAATATTCTTTCCCGGCTTATGGATAAAGAAGCAGAATATGTGGTTTTCAGATTTCACCCAAAGTGCCACAGGATCAAGCTTACGAATCTTTGTTTTGCTGATGATTTTCTGGTTTTCTCTAAGGGGACCTTGGATTCGGTTTTAGGGGTTTGTGAGGTTCTGAAGTTGTTTTATAGTTTCTCGGGGTTTAAGGTTAATGCTAACAAGTCGGAGTTGTTCTTCTCTGGGATTAATGAGGAGACCGAGGGAGATTCCTGTGGTTACGGATATTAGTTGTGGTAAATTGCCAATTCGTTACCTTGGGGTTCCTCTCGTTGCTAGGCGCCTTTCAGTTAAGGACTGTGCCCCTTTAATTGATAACATTGCTGCTAGGTTGTAAGGTTGGAAAGTTAAGACTCTTTCTTATGCTGGGAGAATGCAGCTTATTTAGTCTGTGGTTTATAGTGTCCAAAATTTTTGGAGTTGCCAGTTGGCTCTTCCGATGCAGTTATCAATCAGATTAATCAGCTATGTTCCCGTTTATTCTGGAAGCGTGAGGATAAGGCTGCAAAGGGAGCGAAAGTGGGTTGGAGTTCTATTTGTTTTCCTAAGTCGGAAGGTGGCCTTGGTTTGAAAGACTTGAAATGTTGGAATTAAGCGTATTTTTTATTCCTTATTAGGAAGGTGTTGATGAAGGATGGTTCGATTTGGGTTGCATGGATTCATTCCTACATTATCAAGGACAATTCTTTTTGGGATCTTTCTTTCCCCCAACAGTGTAGTTGGACTTGGAGGACGTTGTTGCACCTTAGGGGCAAGGCGGCTTCTGTGCAGGGGTTATTGTCTCTGATTTTGGTGTCCATGATTTGGAAGGAGGTTCGTTGTAAAAAGGAGAAATTCCTTGGGATCGCCTTGTTTGACATCCGGGACACATTCCAAAAAAATCTCTTATTGCTTGGATGGCCGTTTTGGATAGGTTGCCCACTAGAAGTAGACTCATTTCGTTTGGGCTTGATATTGAGGGTGATTGTGGCTTATGTTCGAGTGTGGTGGAGACTAGGGACCATTTATTCTTTGAATGTGAGGTCCCCCGTTTGGTTTGGAAGAATGTTCTTAGCCTTTTTCAGGTGGATAGATCGGTTATGGACTGGGAGAGTGAGCTTCGTTGGGCGTGTGGTATGCTGAAAGGCAAGTCTTTCCGATCCTGGGTGATGAAACTGGCCTGGAATTGTCATATTGCAGCGATATGGAGAGTGCGGAACCAAAAGATATTTGTTGGGAAGGTTAGTACTGTTTTGGAAATTGTTGGTAGGATTAAGGATATGATTAGGCTGAAATTGTGGGGCAAGAAGGTTGATGTAAATAGTGGAGTCTGTTTAGCCTGGCAACTGATTTAGTTGGCTGTTTTTTTGTTTCTTGTGCTGCTTTGTTGATGTCTGTTGGAGTTGTATTTTTGGTTGGTTTTGGAATATATTGAATTCATTCATCTAAAAAAAACAATTAAGTATAATCAATAAGCGTAAATCAGGTATTGGTTTAATTAGTTTTACATATACATAATTTGGAAAGAAGAAAAAAAAGACACATCAAATTAATCTCCTTTCCCCCCAAATAAATTAGGGTTGTTTTCCTTTCTCTACAATCACCACGCATTCTTTCCCGATTGCAGTTCGTCTCCTTGAAATAGTAAGTTCTCACACTCTCTTTGTTCTAATTTTTTGTGGCTTTTTTCTAGCTTTCTCATTAATGGTAGTTCATTTAAAATCTTGGTTTTAATTAATTGCATAATCACAGCTTCCAAGTCTCTCTGACCTGTTCTTTGAAGTTGTTTTATTTATCTTCCATTTTTTTGGCTTCTTTGTTACTTTTTAGTTACCTGTACTTGACTTCCATTTAGGTTTTTCAATTTCCCCAAGTTCAGAAATCATGAAAATTTTGCATTTTTAAGCTGTTAGGTTCTTTGCTTTATGACTATGTGAAGTTGAAATATAGAATTTTTTTTATTGTAATTTGACAATAATTTTGCTTAGTTCGTCTGAAAGTATTGAAATTTATTACTGCCATTTCGATTTTTGGAGTAACTGCAAGGAAGTTGGACTGTGTCTATTTGATCATTAGCTTAGTTTCGCTCCTTCTCGTTCATGTTAAATTTCGGTTGTTTCGAGGCATGGTTTTTACATCTCATTGTGCTTTTTATTTTTTCCTGCTAGGTTTCTGTTTTGATGGTAGTGGCCAACTCTCATAAGGAACCAGTGAGAGGACTTAACATCCGTGCAATGAAACGCATGCTTTTAACATACTTCACTGATGAAGTTAGTATGTTACTTGATTCTTATATTTACTGATGTTTTGGTCTTTAAATCAAAATGGTTGCAGAGAACATAACATATTTCGAGGATGTTGTGATTCTTTGAGTTACTTGTTGGAAAGCTTTCTAAAAGTTGAAAGCCTGTTGAACTAGAACTTCTGAGGTTTACAAAAAATACATAAGACGGGGTCACTGTGCTGTGTGGCTGCAAGGCCTCATGGGTCTAATACAGCCAGTAGAGAGTGGTCCATAGGCCCTCAAAAGCTTTATCTTCGAGATGGGATTTTCATTTTCAACCCGATGGACTGCCATATGGTTCGAATGATGGGAGTCAATTGTATGAATCTTCTACATCTCCAAACAGCAAAGAAAGCAGGGGGTGGGTGAGGAGAAACCTTCTTTACAATCATCAATATTCTGCATCTGATGGTGCGGGGACCTTTTTAAGTAGTCCATCTGACATTTCTCAGGGTCCACAGTGGACACCTCCAGTAATACAAGAAATCACTCTCGATGATTATGAAACTGCAATGAGAAGAGGTGAGCTAGTTAAGAGTGTCCCTTTCGTTGTTAAATTGTATCAATAATGTCTAAGCTTTTATTCTCACTTCCACCCTTTCATTTTCCTTTGCTGGACATGTTGTCTGACAGTGGATGTGAAATTGGGTAATTATTTTAAGTACTTTTTCCCCGTTTTGTAACTTATAATTCTCAAGTGAAACAATGAAGTAGAGGCTTATAAATAAATAGACTTGTCATTTATGATTCTCAAGTAAAACAATGAAGTAGAGGCTTATAAATGAATAGATTTGTAAAAAGGATGTATGTTTGTGTACAAACATTCAAATGATATGATGTTTTCCTATGACAAGGACAAGCTGTGCTCCTCTTATTCCCTTTAGATGGAGAGTTGAAATGTCTGGTTTCTAGCTAGCTTTAGTAATTCAGTTAGTAGGTTTCTTTGGTTAGTTGCATTATTCATTGTTATCTCCTTCTCCTTATTGTATTTGATATTCCTATGTAGTACTTCCAATCCTTGTCCGGTGCCCCCCCCCCCTTTTTTCTATCAAAACACTGTCATTCAAATATAGGTTGCACTGAAATAAGTGTTAAAGAAAATGCAACCGAATTTCCTGCCTAAGCACCTGAAATAGCCATTGCATGCCTTCTGATTTATTGCCATGCATTTGATTTGCATTATCTTTCATTGTCCAATCATGAATATTAGCCGTGAACTTTGTGTAGAATTGTTGAACGAAAGTTGTAGTGATAAACTCATGGACATCTTCCTTGACCTCATAATATAACAAACTATTGAACCTAATATTGAATCATTGGAAGATTAGCCTTTGTTATGCCTTGGTTTTCATTCTACATTTTGCAGTCAAAACTTTCTTCGATTGCCTTAATATATTTTCTTTGTTCCTTTATTGATTTTTATACATCTGAAGCCTTGTAGACATAAGTTTATAATTGTCCGATATTTTTCCTTGGATGCATCAGATTAAGAAAATCATCATGTGAAAGAGAACAGGCTTTCATTTCTTTTATAGTTATAGACTGTAACGATGTCTATTGCCTTCTCATTGCTTTTCAGTTAAATAACTGTGATTTCCAACAGCCTAGTCAGTTTTGTACCCATTGATAATTCTAATTTACTGTAGGTTTATCTTGTCTGTTATGAAGTTAGAATTATAGAACTAGAATATCCTTTGCTGATTTTAGTCCTAGACCTATTTGGCCAATTTCTAAGCTAAACTGAACCTATAGAGCAATGGAATTCACAATAATATTTTGGTGCTCTGCATGGACATTTCTCAAGGCATTTCTGTCAGCTACTGTATCTAGGGTGGGACACTGGGGTCAGCACTTATATTTTAAAACTTGAATTTTAGAGACATACTTGAGAAAACGTTTGAATTATTTCCTTAAGGTTCGACGGAAACAGCTTATTGTTGTCTTTTGCTTGCTAGATCATGTTGGTGGGCAATTACCCTTCACTTCTATTGGTGAGGTACCTTATTCTCATCTTCAAACTCGATAAGTTGAGAATGTTTCCCTAGAATTTATATCCCTTAAGTTGATGGAATTTTGCAGGGGACTTCAACAAATGCAGATACTGGAGTCTCCACTTCATCTTATTCGGACAGTAGTGAGTCTGAGCCCATGTTCAAGCAATGGTTGTCATCTCATCGTAACGTTTCAAGTCGGTATTGCTTTTTGTCCAAACCTATTCACCCCTTGTCCTTTCCCATGGAGACTCTACCACAGAAGCCTTGGACTCTACAGTTGCAGGGCTTTCAGATGAAACAGTCACACCACAAAGAGATACCCAAAGCTGGAGCAGTGTTAGCAGCAGCAATGATATTGCAGATATTTTCGAGCCATTTGTACCTTTGATGTTTAATTGATCATGTATCCCATCTAGTGGTTTTAAATGTGATTTGTGCGAGAGGTATCTCTCACAGAGATCGCCTTGGAGTGCTCGTAGGATTGTAAGAAGTAGTGACATGCCTGTTGCCAGGGTCCTTTCATGCGGGCACACTCTCCATGCAGAATGTTTGGAGCATACAACACAAAAGACTCGTATAAGTGACCCTCCTTGTCCTGCATGTGCCAAACTTGAAGAGAAAAATTCTCCAGAGAACCGAGTCTTCTCTAGGTTTAGGAATAGGATCTCAAGGCTTAGACCATTTTCTGAGGATGGGCCATCAAGGTCTTGGAGCTGTGCACAGGTGGGAGATTGTGTTCAAGGGGCTTTGCAGCCTCCCCCACGAAGTACCATGCTATTGCTTAACCAGAGTTGCATGAAGAAAAATCTCTTCGTGAAGGTTAATTTGAGTAAAGAATTTCCCTGTAAACTGAGGAAAAGTGGTTTGGCGTCTTTGCAACTTTTTAGTGGGCAGTCAATCGATCAAGGTGTAGTTGAAACTTGTCATATTTATGAAGTTGCTGAATGACATTTGATCGAGTGGAAACTAGGAGATGTTGTATAGATATGATTTTGTGGAAAACTAAGGTTGAAACCTATCAATTTCGGTTGTGTTGTACTATTTATTTATGATGATAGAAATGCTGAATGTGGAAACCAAATTTCTTTTGTTTGCTCAATGGTGGAAACCACATTAAACTTGCAATACCAAAAGCTCTACTCTCTTGTATAAATCAAATAGGTCATATTTGGTACTTGCAGTTTTGTCTTTTGTGGTATTTATATTTTCAAAATGTCTAATGTGGTGTTTATATTTTTAAATTACCTAAAGTGGTGCATGAAATTTTTATCTAAGTATCATAATAGTACATGAAGTGATGGTTTAGGATACAACACTTATAGTATTCCTTGCAAAACTTGCAAGGGTGGGTTCTTGTCAATTGTTGGTGACTAAACATACCCAATTTATGAGCCAACTTATATACCATCCTTCACAAACAAACGACTTCGGTGATGAAAGAATTGTTTGTATTCCTTGAGGTATTGGATTCAAGCACCAAAGATCATTGCCTAGCTAACAACTTGTGTTTATGGTAACAGATTATTGCCTCTTTTATGGGAAAGAAGTCTCAGCCTGCGTTTGTAGCTCAAGGGTGCTTCAGGGTATAGATTAGGGTTGTTAAAACTGAACTATTTTGAAATGGGTTTTTTATTTGTAATTAAACAACATTTTAAGTGCTTTACAACATCACATGACTATGTCTGCCACTATAACACGTCCATTCATTAGAAATAAATGGCAAGTTAAATAAAAAAAACAATTACAAAATAAAATGGTAATCTCTGGTTAGATTATCTATTTCTGACTCAACAAGTGGAGTTCAGTCCAATTCCAACAACCTAATCAAATAGACATAACATCAATTATTTTTTTCCCTCTATAATCATATTTCTTCTAACATTGTCAAACTTTATTATATCACTTTCATGTAGAAAAAAAAATCCCAAACCTTTAACATCACAAAAACTTTATCAAATTACAAGTTGGTACATCATATATAAATAATAATGCATTTTTACCCTCTTTTGCTAAATAGAGCTTAGCCCTTGATCTCTATTAACTCGGCTATGTGTCTGGTTAGATAGCTAATAGCAGTGGACCATTTTGGTTAGCCATAGGATAAGAGGGTGGGTGAGGTGAATTAACAGTGTGATAGACACCAAACGTTCAACCCAACTCATCGAGAAATGGGCCTTTGATTAATCAGCTCCACTCTTTCTCGCACTTACTATATATACCACATTGCACGTGATTTGTAACGTCGCCCCTTTTATATTAATAGATTAATTTGAATTAGTATTAATCAATTGATCTCAATAGTAAAATAATTATTGTTATTTTTTGAGATATCAGATTCGAATACTATAAATGTCAGCATTCAATGTTTAATTATGAACATATAATATGGTAATTAGACAAGTAATTAGCTGGCTGATTAATGTTTTAAGTCGCAATCCAAGGCTACAACTCGAAATTAATGGCCATTTATGGCAGACAATATCTATTTTTACCACTTTATGGGAAGATTGCACCTTTTTCCCTAAAAGAAAATTTGTTTTATCCCATTTTGGCTATTTTTATTTTTTAATATAAATTTAACGTAAATATAAAGAAGTATATATTCTAAGATTTTTATTTATATAACAATGAACGCCCATATTTCTGCCTACGATATAATTGAATCTAGGACCTCAAGTGATAACAATAATCTCTTAGTCACTGAGATCACTTAGTTAGTGCAACTTAAGTTGGCTATTTATATTATATAAAGGAAGGATGAGTCTACCATACTCGATGAGCATCAATGAACACTACTAACGACAAGCACAATTAATTTAATTTATAAAAATTTAAAATTCTAAGGGACTCAACTTATAATTATAAATTAGTTAAAAATTTAGAGGTAAACTATTTAAAATAAAGGGTAAATTATATCAGTGGCTACCTAATTATTACCCCTTTTCATTCTGATCACTATTTTTGAAATTTTATCAATCAGGTCACTCAACTATTTAAATGCATTCAATTAAGTCACTTGTCGTTAATATTTAACAGAGAATCTGACATATCAGCTAAAATATTTGGTATAATTACACATTTGGTCATTGTTACTTATATATTCTATCAATTTGCTCCTAATTTTAATAAATTAAAATAAATTTAACCCTCAAATCAAATGATGTCATGTGTCACTAGTGCAATGTGGCATTTTTAAAATGTATGAAAAATAATCCCATCAAATCCACAATTCTTTGAAGGATAGCAAAATAATTAGGGTTTTTTTCAACCCGTCATCATCAACATTTTTCATAATTAATCTAGTATGATTTGATTTGATTTGATTTGATTTGATTTGATTTGATTTGATTTGATTTGATTTGATTTGAAAGGTATATATAACTTGTTCATTAAAACTTACCAATCTCCCAGCTAAGCTGAGATTGTATATTTCTCCAAACGAACTGACGTAAAATGCTCCATTTTCTCTAATAGTGACGTGTCTTTTCCATGTTGGACGTTACAATATCACACCTACTTTATTTACATATTATATATAACACATTAACGTTTAAAGTTACAATAATCATGGTGATAGTGGGATTTGTGGCTTTGATCTACTTTTATATACCTTTCTTCCTTGAGTAATTAAAATTTAAAGTAAAACCCTAGTTTTTACAGCATGAATATTGCCTGCACGTAGCTTTTACAGCATGGATGCGAATTTTAAAATCAAATGGTGGATTGTGAAGGATGACTAGAAAACGTATCTTTGGAACCCTCTTAACCTAATTATTACATAGTAGAAACGGTGGCAAATCCATTAAAGATATAAGGTGAGTACATGTCTACTTAAAGTTTAAATTTTTTTCAAATAATTATATATTTTAACAGTTATGTCCGTCCTAGAACTGAAATTGTTTTTCACCGAATCCGAGGGTTGTTGGAAATAACTTCAGTCATAAAAAGGGTCATAAGGTAGTTCGGTTATCTACCACTAAAGGCGCGCAGTTAAAAGAGTTAAGAGATTGCGGTTAAAACTGTCGGCATTATTCATTTTTTCAGTGTTATTGTCTGGTTCTTCACAGCTTTTTGCATGGCGGGTCACTTTTACCTTTTTCCTCCATTAAACAATTCTAAAACTTTTGTCTGTGTCAAAATTCATTAATATTATCCATTGAAAGTGACAGCTCTAAGAATCAAACAGTCTTAGATTATAGATGGAATAAGGTATTATGAAACTATATTCTGTTATATATTTTATATAAGGTTTAATGTCCAAATAAGTGATTAAATTATATATTTTGTGTCAAATAAATGCTTACATATTTTTTTAGCTCAACCGGGTACCTAACGTTACAAACGTTAGTATTTTAGGTGTTCGGCCCATCCATGACGTTAGTTTTTCTCGTTAAGTAATACGTTAAACAATCCGGTAATTTTTTCTTATTATATTTATAATTTTTCTTATGTTATAAAACAATCCCAAAATCTCAAATCTTAACTTTAATCTGTCGTCGCCGCCCTCTCCGGCCACGACCACCACCGCCGGCATAATCCTTGTCATCGTCCTAGTTATATATCATCGTAGTTGTTGTCGATTCACCATCGGAATCGCATGGGATTACGATTTTCATCCTAGGGTTCGCGAGATTTAAAACGTCGATTTGTTGTCAACCGACCACGATTTCATAAGGGTTTTGGTCGCCGAGGTGAGGGGAGGGGAGGTCGGGTGGAGCTTCTTCGACGGTAAAGGGTGGCGGTCAGTGTGGATTTAGGGGGTGGAGCTTCTTTTTTAAAAATATATAATTTTATTTTTAATTTTATATAAAAATTTAAAATTACCAGGTTGTGACACATGTCACTTAACGGAAAAATTAACGTCGTTGACGGCCGGGCACCTAAAGTGTTAATGTTTTGTAACGTTAGACACCTGAATGAGCCAAAAAAATGTAGGCACTTATTTGGCACAAAAGTTATAGTTTAAGCACTTATTTGGACATTAAACCTTTATATAATTTTAAATTTTGATTTATTTGTAATATTTACAAATCAAATTTTATAACTTTAAACTAAAATATACTCTGAATTAATTTTTTATTCTGATACTTATAGATCGAGTAACATAAAATTATCCATAGGGATAGACATAGGTTAGATTTTCGTCAATACGACCCAACCTAAAATATACACCCTCCATATGAAATTTGGCTTTACTCGGTTTTATGATGACTTCACCCGACCTAAATCCGGCCAATCTTTTTGAGACAAAACTCGAACACGACCCGATTCAAAATAAATATATTTATAAAAGTAATACTTTTGTTCAATAAAAATAGGGATCTAATTGGAAAAAAAAATAATATAAATAGGGATATTATAGTAATTATATTATTTTTTGAGTCAGGTCAGATTAAATAGTTCTCACTCTAAATCCAAACTTAATCCGATTCGACCGAACCCAATTCTTTAAAAAAAAAAGCCTTACCAATAAAATCGATGGAGTCAGAATTCGTCGAATTTTAGTCTCGTACACATCCCTAATTATCCCTCTCTTAAGTAAAATTTTGAACTTAAAGAATTTATGAATTAGAGAAGCAATACTAATACAACCTGTTTTAATTTATTTAAGAAATTAAATCAATTTAACTATGAATATAATTGAACTCAGTTTAATTATTGTGTGATGGCTAAAGTGGGATGGCTAAAGTGGAGGGCTGCTAGTGGAGTTTTGTGTGACAAGAAGGTGCCTCTAAAACTTAAGGGAAAATTTTATAGAATGGCAATAAGACCAGCGCTGTTGTATGGATCAGAATGTTGGGCACCCAAGAAGGATCACGTAAGGAGGATAGAGGCCGCAGAAATGAGAATGCTTCGATGGACATGTGGTAGGACTCTGTGGGATATGACGACAAACTCTGCTATTAGGATGTCCTTAGGGGTGGTGTCTGTTACCGAAAAATTGAGGG